CAGTAAAGAGGTGAGTTAAGAGCAAGCTCTTCCAAGCTGAACAGGATGTCAGAATATTTATGAGCATTGAAAGCTTGTCAAAGAGGCTGTCTTCTCTCAAGTATCCTAAAGGAATCATAAGAGTGATGACCCCGGGCCAAGAACATCGGATGGTATTTGTAAAGTTCATCTTCTTGTTCCAGGTTCCTAACTTTAAAGGTCTGGTTTTCCCATGTTGGTATTTCATTTAGAAAAGCGTATTTCTGCATGCACGCTCTGACCTTGAAGTAGCACATTACAAGCTGAAACCCAGAAGCCTCATGCTCCATTACGAGTTCCTTCAGAGAGTTAAGCGGCTGCCCCTGGAGTACAGCTACGGGGAATACAGAGATCTCTTCCGTGATTTTGGGACCCACTACATCACAGAGGCCGTGCTTGGGGGCATTTATGAATACACCCTCGTTATGAACAAAGAGGCCATGGAGAGAGGAGGTACACTGCCCAAGGGACCATGGCTTTCCTAAAAGCTGGGGAAAGCATCCTAAGTGGAACTTGTAGTTTTCTTTCTACCTTCCTGGCTACACCTTCACAGCGTCATTTGCAGATTTCTCTTCCTCCTCTTTTTGATTGACAATGTCAGTCCTCTTCTGCCTAACTCCTTAGGCCATTCTCTTTTCTACAGCTCTTCTCTCTATGAAGTTGTATCCAATCCCATGGTTCTAAATACCTTCAGCATGCAGATAACTCCTGGATCTCTTCCTGGATCCATCCTGGATCTCTTCCTGCACCCAAGAGTTTATGTTGAAATGTTTCTTTGATGTCTCCATGTGAATGTGTAACAACCCTCACCAGCTGAACATGTGCCCAAAGAGAACTTTTGACTTTCTTTCTCCAATACGTTTCTTCTTTAGTCATCCACATTTCAGAAATGGTTCCACCATCCAACCAGTGGCTCAAGCCATAAAACTAGCAGTCAACCTTGATTATTTTTCTTGTCTTCAAATCTATTGTTTTTTCTTTTCTTAAAATCCATCAGCTCTACCTCCAAATTATATTTCCTATTTTTCCTATTACCACCGTAGCCTCATCCCATGACCAGACCTTCACATTCAAAGGTTAATGTGAATGTGAATCAAGTATGAATCTTGGAGGAGGTAGATTCTGATTCAGTGGGTTTAGAGTGAGACCTGAGAGTGCATTTCTAACAAGCTTTGGAGTGATCCTGATGCTGCTGGCTGGTAGACCATAGTTTACATAGCAAGGTCTCAGATTATTACTGTGGCCTCCAAACTAATATTCCACCCCCACCCCTCCCCTATAATTCATCTTCATACAGATATCCCAGCTCTTTCCAACTCCAGTCAACTACAAGTCTGCTGCTTTCCAACCCAATATCCTTTCCTATGACATGGCACTTGTTGGGTTAAGTGAACTGCTGTAGGTCACACAGATTGCAGTGGCAGAGCAGGGCTTGATTACCAGTCCATGTACTTGCAAGACGACTCATGGTACACAATGTAAATTTATACAGTGTGGCCTCAGTCTTGTCAAAATCAGAGGTACCTTCCTGCATAAAAATGATCTCAAAAGTGCTTTCCACTGTTCCTCAAACTGCTTCCCATAAAAGGGCTTAATAATTAAATAAGTTGGGAAAACACATAATTGATTCCACTCTCAAAGTTTCACAAATGTACTCCAATAAAATGACCTCTCTACCTATTTTGATGCAACATCTGTCATACTTTCTTGACCACAGAAGTTCCTTTTCTCATAACATCTGCTACCATCTCATGGGATTCATGTTTCAAGAAATGCACTTTGGGAAAAACTGACCTACACCAACATTGCTAGACAGCCCTGGTGGTCAAAGTTGCTCTTTTCTCCCTGAACTGGCCTCAAAGTGCTCAGAGAAGTGCTTATAAGTCACGTCTGGAATTTCAGCAAGACCAGGGGAGGAGGATACCTCAGGGAGAATTAGGGAGGAAGAAGTAGGAAATAGTCCAAAAATGAAGAAGGAATCAGGGAAATTTGCCTCTCCTCTTTGCCAGATACCATGCCTTACTTTTTATATACATTTTCTCAACTAATTAACTAACACACTTTTTCTACTTTATCAAAGATTGGAGAAGAGTGGGTCAGGGAGGGCAGGCAGATTGTAACAGTCTCTGTACTCACTGGATCTATCCCTAGAGAATCAATAAGATCAAATTTTTAGAAAATGACTCTGAGCACTTCCCCTCTTTCAAAGTCAGCAAAAGTCCTCAGAGAGCATTGCGGGGAGGCTGAGAGGGGAAGTTGGGTCTGAGCTCTACGAAGTCTCTGCCCTGGTGCCAGTTGCTGCCTGCATTTCTTGTTATCAGACTGGTGACCTATTTATTTGAACCCGAGTCCTTGTGACATCCAACAAGAGCTAGGCCTCTGGACTGGATCATACGAAAAGGGACAGAATGAATTATGTTTTATGTCATGGACTTTTTTCCTTGCTTTCTTCAGATTATACTCTTAACAACGTCCACGCCTGTGCCAAAAATGATTTTAAAATTGGTGGTGCCATTGAAGAGGTCTATGTCAAGCTGGGTGTGTCCATAGGCAAATGCAGAGGTATTCTGAATGAAATAAAAGGTGAGTGACAGGGGCTTGTGACTTCCACACTTACAATGTTTATCCTCCTAGTGCTTCCGGTGATTACATCTCCCTCCCTTTTTGAGACAAATACTATCCCAACTTCTATGCCAAGTATGTCCTTCTGTTTTTTATAGTTTTACCACCTAACATAT